AAATATAAAAATATTGTAAGATAGCAAATGATATTGAAGAAATCCATTTTGCAATTTATTATCAAAGAATGCGATTTTTGCACAGCCTGAAAGGTACTTTTATCGATTTTAAATAAATTCTTTGAAATCCAATTTCTGCATAAACAATCTTTTTTAATGATTGTATGAAAACTTGTTTATATAAATCAAAAAAGAGAAGTTTTTAGATTTTCTCAAGACTGGATACATTATCGTACAGCATTTTTGAGGCTTAGTACGCATATTAGAACGCGCTTTGTTCTTTATAGTTCTGTATTTCCTAAAATGCAATTAAATGAGAATTATAAAAGAAAAATTTGTTTATTCAAAAGAAATTTTTTTTTACATTTTTCTTAAATCCTAATTTTCGCATATGTGGATTAACACACAGCATTTTTTTGAGGCTTAGTACGTGTATTGGAACGCGCTTTGTTCTTTGTATTACAATACAATATAAATAATAATAATAAAGTATACCGAATTTATTTTTTTGTATAATATAAAGTTGTGAATTAAAAAAATTTTTTTTTAATAATACATTCGGCACCATTATCTTCGTGAAATATGTTAATTCTTTTTTTGTTATCATGTGACTTAATACTGTAACAAAAGCATAGTTTATAATATAATTTTTTCTGTAACACCGATTATATATTTTATAGAAATAATATTAATTTATATAATTCTAATATAAAAAACTCTCAATTCCAGTTTTTGGTGCATATGTTTTTTTTATAGTGGGACTATTATATGTCCCACTCTTTAGACAATCCCAATATATAAGAAACATTATTATTTATATTTATATTATAAGTAATAAAGAATTCAGATAAATATATAAAGAGCCCTTTTTATCATCAGTATATTTTCAAATTAAACCCTTTGCTATTCAAGATTCATTTTCATACAATTTTATATCTCTAAGATTCAATTTTTATACAATATTATAACTTAACTAAAAATGCCTAAACATAAAACTGTCCCCCATATATATAAAAATAAAAATGGATTTATCTCTAGTATTTTAATTAGGGAAGACATAACTGCAAGCATCAAATTTAATAAAAAAAATATTCTCGAAAAATCAGAAAAACAAATAAAAGCAAGTACCACTACAGTTATATTACAAAATTCTGAAGAAAAAAAGATTGTAACTTTTAACCTCAAGAGTGTAAGTTACAACAAATTACGCAAGGAATTAACAAAAGTAACAGCTAAAAGAGGAACAATTAAATCTCATGTTCATAAACTTAAAGGAAAAATGGAAAACCTGACTATAGATTTAGAATTTATACGTTAGTTTTCTTAATATATTTTTATATATCTACAATTAAATTTCTTGAGATCTAAAAGTCCAATAATATTGTGCAGGCATTAATTAGTTATGAATTATATTACTTAAAATAAAAAAACTTGACTATTTGAAGAATCTAATTATAAGTTTAACAATCTTTTCTGATAAAAATCGCATAAAATTTTAATTTGTTTAAGATATTTGTTTTTTGGTTAAAACAACATTTGGTTTTTGTAATTATTTTGTTTTATTCTAAATAAAGATCAAACAAGCAGATGTGTGAAATTTTTATTTAAATCATGTGATCTTTAGTCACATTAGCCAGCCGATCATATTATAGCGCTTTGCAAAAAGATGTGACCCCCATGATTTTTGTGATGATGAATGAGGAAAATTTCTGAGATTCTAAAATTGTCTATTAATTCATATTTTCGATCGGTTATATTTATATTTATTTGAAATTGGTAAGATTCTTAAAATTTACAGAATCTCCACAACATTGTGATCTGCAGAGGTCACATCTTTTTGCAAAGCGCAATAATTGGCTGGCTATAGCTCTTTATGTTCAATTTTCGTTTCTGCATAACTTATTCTAATGAACAATCTTCTTGTTTATATGAATCAAAGTGCATTATCGCGCAGAGGCGCTTTGTTCTTTGTGGTGCAACATAAATAATATAATAATAAAGTACATATATCAAATTTATTTTTTTTGTATAATATATGAAGTCATGAATTAAAAATATAATTTTTTTTTAATAATAAAGTTTGCACCATTGTCTTCATGAAACATTAGAACAATTGAGATTAATTCATTTTTGTTATTATAAGACTTAATACTGTTTAGTATATTTAACGTTAATATATTTGGTTTTTATAATTTTTATGATAATAAAAGGAATACATATAAAAAAAAATCTTAAATAACAAAAAATTATACGTATGAATTATATATAAACAATATTAAATAAAAATATAATATACTTCTGAACAAATTTAGGGAGTGTTAATTAGTTTAATTTTGTATTTAAAGATGAGCCTCTTTATACAAGTGAATCAAAATTCAAGAACGTATTCGAATTTAATCCTATTTATGATATTCAAGAACGTTTACCAATCAGAATAACTATACAGGGTGAGTTTTCTCATTAATTACTTGTCGAGTTATTAGTGTATCCAAAGTTACGCTGCCACATTGGTGCAACGAAATCTGATAGAGAATTGAAAGCACATCGGGCCAACCATTTTGGTTGAATGTTCTCCTCTATCAGTTATCAATGTTCCTGTAGTACTGGCCCTGTCTGCGTTAGAGAGGACCTTTCTATATTAAAATACTAGAAAGCGTGCATCTAGGAAGTTGGTAAATAGCATCCACTTTAGTATTGATCATGTAACCGTTGACTATTCTGGCCATGTTCTTTGTTAGTTGATAATGATGACACAAGTATTTTATTAATAAATTTTAATTCCAAAAAACAGGTCATTATAATGATTAAGAGACAGAATAGTATTGACTTATTGGATTCTCACATTTGCCTTACTACTAAAAAAAAAAAGAACTACGCCATCATTGAATACAAGAAAATAGAGATTGTAATTTTATTTATCACATTTATAAATATTAATATTTACAAAGACAAATAATTAATAAATAAATAAGAATTGACTAAATAATGGCTTAAAACTAGTGTTTAATGTTGAATAACTCATGAGAGAATTGCTATGAAAATTTCACCA